GCAGATCTGCTCTTTTAGGAGAGTTCTTCTGGCCTAGAAGTGTATACGCTGCCCAGATTTCCGAAGACTCAGCGAATGTCCTCTGATGTGATCGCGGAGGGAGTTGGGAGGATCCTGGAAATCATGATAGGTTTGCACCACCGCCCCTCCCCCTACGCCCCCGCCCCGGGCTGCAAAGCCGGTTGCCCCTGGCTAATAGGCGCCTTTCCTGCTCCAGGGTGAAAACTAGTCTGTGGTGCATTGAGATTTGCAAACCAGTCCCTGAATGCCAGGGGCGCTGCAAAACAGCCGCCGGGTGCAGTGGGCCGGGCGCTCGGCCACCCTGGCTGCGATCATCGCAGCCTCCCAAAGGATGCGGGCAGATGCAGACGGCTCTGGCCCATCTGTCCCTAAAGGCCTGGGACTGTGCTCGTGTGCTCCGCGAGGGTACCCGAAACCTGGGAGCTCTCCGGCGCTCCCGGCCTCCGGTATCTGGGGCTCTTTGTCTCCCGACAACACTAATCCTGAGAACAAGGCGCACCGAAGGCGGAGGCCCGGGTGCTTTGGACAAGCCCGCCACGGGCAAGCCAGTTCGAATGTTTTCAATAAAATGCTTCCTGGGGAAAAAAGAGAGGATAGCAAAAGAATTTCTCTTCAGAAGTTAATCTATTTTCAGCAGCGGTTAAGCGCGGCACCAAGTAAATCAGATTCTAAATGTTCCTTTGGAAAGAAGGAAGAAAAGGAAGGGAGGAAGGAAGGAGAGCTGGAGGGAAGAAGGAGGGAGGGAGGAAGGGAACAGGAAAAGATATCCCTTAAACCATAAAGTTTGTTTGTTTCAGGGTTGGTTTTCCCCCCAACCCCCCCAAAAAAAAATGTCAGGAAGGAGCGGAGTCCCCAGTGCCTGTGTTTCCCCAAACTCGGGAGCCGCGAGCAAGCCTTCTCCCTCCAAGCTGCTCTGCCTCCTGGGGAAATGGCATACATAGGGCGATGTGTTATGTATTGCAACCAGATGAGAAACTAATAACGGTTTTTAAAATAATAGTGCCCCTTGTCATCCAGAACCAAGATATGCATGCCACCGGGGCTGAAATTGGAACACCTTTTTGGAGTGGAAATGCTTGCCTTTTTCTTCCGTGGTGCAAACGTGTGAGCTTTTTGCGCAATAAAGGGATTTTCTTCTGAGGTTGTCTACACCGCAAGAAGGCATCTGCTAATTTGTCCTAAAGTGAGGGCGATTTCTGGCATTTTTTAAAAAATGTTTTTTAAATAAAAGTCATCATTACAGTGCTTCGGGTTAGTGACCATAAAATGGCCAGAGGGAAGGGGCGGGAGGAGAGGCTCAGCTCTAGCCGCGCCAGTCATATTTAATATGCTTCCCATAAGAGAAGCTCCTGTAAAATCAATAGACAGCCGCCAGCTGTGCTTAAACCTGCGATTTCAATTAAAACACTGCGCTCCAGTCCTTGAGGTTGGGCCCGGATCCCCAGTCAGTGGTGTGCGGGTTGCTTGGCCAGGGCGCGGCGTCGCACCGCCGCGGATTCCAGAGGTCGCCTACCGGGTCAGACCCCGCAGAGCCGCGGATGCGCCGGGCCTCGGTGTCCTGCTCTTCGGCATGTGAAGGACAGAGGCCGCCGAGGGGCCTCGGGCCTAACTCTGATGGTGTGTTTCCCTACCGCCGCCGGGAGTTTGAGGCCCAACCTAGGGCCAGATGGCGAAGAAGCCAAAGCATCCAGCTCTCGGCTGAGGCGCTCCGAATGAAATAGGCCTGGGGCTGAGGCCTCGGGCTGGGGAAGGCGCCAAGGTGGATTCGGGTCCGGCGGCCGTGCGTGACAGGCTGCAGCCCACGAATCGGACGGCCACAGGCTTGGGTGCCCGGGGATTACACAGGGCATCCTAGGACTCCTGCCCTGGAGCGGAGCGCGAGCTGCGGCCTAGTAGGCCTCGCTTGGGCCGCCACCGCGTGCCTCCCGGTCAGGCGGTTTGCTGGGTCCTACTCTTGACCCGAAGGCATCAACACCTCCAGCGTGGAGCTTGTGTACCTGTTGCGTTGGGAAAGAGACTGGGACTTCCAGAATGTCACCATAGCCTCAGCCCACTTCTACTGGAAAATCGTGCTTTGAGGGACAGACTTCTTGGGGAGGGAGGGATAAGATGACTTTATTTTCCGTAAATGAATGCACATCTCTGAAACATCTGCTTAGCCCTGGAGCCCCAAGTTGCCCTTCATGTCGAGTTATTTTGGATTTTCCTTTACTGAAAATGTGTAGGTGGAAAAAATGTCACCCCAAATCCCACAGAACCCTTCCACCAACTCCCTAAAACTGTGAACTTTTAATTTCTGTAGTTGTCCCTCTTAAAAAAAAAAAAAAAAAAGGAAAGAAAAAGAAAGAAAGAAAAGAAAAAGAAAGCCCAGCCTTAAAGCAAACAAACAAAAAAAGATGCTGTATATAAGAATGAATTTGGAGGATTTGGGGACAGCGAACGGAAATCTCAGCACTCCCTCCACCATGCGCCACATTTCCCCAGTCCTCTATTATTCTGCCTGAAATCATCTCGTTTACAGAAAATATTTGTTTGCACTATTAGTTGGTACTGGAGTTAATTACTCAATGTGTTAACGTGAAGTAATATGTATAAAAGTAGGATCAGTGTTTATTGTGTGGGTGAGCTGTTGAGCGGTGCTTGAATAAACTGCAATTAGGGTTAGATAGAGATTAATTAACATGTGAGTGGCAAGGTGTAAAATAGTTTCCAACCCTCCACTTCAATATAATCTGCAGGCGAGGGAAGGAGAAGTTTGTGGAAGCTAATTAAATACTTTCATAAAAGCCAGTGTATTCACCCAACATTTGGAAAGAGAGGCACATTAGGGGCAACTTGTTTTTACCCAAATGTTTTCTTTCTGTGGAGGTAGCACTCCTTTGTGATGCTGGAGAGAGAGAGAAAGATGGCTTATGCAGCCACAAAAAGCGATAGAAATGGCAAGGCAGGTTCATGGGAAGCCCTTGGAAGCCTTTCAGCCTGATGAAGCTTTCAAACCAGCAGATCTTTCGAGCTGCTGCAGAGAGCAACAATTACCCAATTTGGAAAAAGGGTTGGGGTGCAGTACTTGTGGCAAACGGGATCCACAGGAGAGTCGGGATAGAAAATCGGGTCTTGAGATGCTGCAGGTGTATTGATATTGTTTCAATGTTGGGGTGAGTTGGTTTGTTTCATGTTTGGTGGGAGGAGGGAGTAATCTGTGCTCTTGTGTTCACATTAACATAGGGATGGGGGTACCCTGGGTCTGGAATTCTGTCTCTCTGAACATCTTCTAAATTAAATGGGCTATATGGAAATGATCTCCTCCAGATGAGCAAGGCTCTTGGCTTAGAAATCTGGTAGTTTGGGGAGGGGGTGGGAGGGTGATGTTACGGGAACAGACTTAGGATTGTGGAATTTAGGGGCAGTTTCAGAGTTTGGCAGGGTGAGAGCATTAGCCTATTGCAGTCCACCTCCAAGCCACTTTCCCTCAGGGACCTCTCTCTGTTCCCTCTCTTTTCTTTCCAAGTACACCTTTCCTTTTCCTTACCTGCTATGTCCAAATCCTGTCTAAAATTACACCTCAAAGGAGCGGCAACTGGATGGGTGAGTAGAAGGAAAGAGACGTTTTGAAGGGAAAAGGGGAATGATTTGCCTGAAGTTAAAACTAGAGCTTTTCTGCCCCGTCCCTTAACGTTCTCCAGGGATGTTTCGCAGCACGGAGGGCCCTAGGACGGGATACTCAGCCCCCTCAAGACTTGTTCCTGGGTGAAGAAACAGAGGGTTTACCTCTACCACCACTTTCTCTGGCTTCACATGATCGTGTGTCTTTGGAGATGGAATTCACTATCAAACCCTGTTTGCTCATATTATACCCACCGTAATCCTCTTAAACTGTGGTTGAGGCTACAAAGCTCGTGGTCTTGCAAAAGCTGGCTAGCAAGATATAATTGTCCCGCGAACAAAACCGGCCAAAACTTTTCAAAAAACCCCTGCACCCTTCCTCCCCCTTTCCTAAACCTAATTCTCTCGCTCGCTCTCTTGCTAGCCACCACCATCCCCCTCCATAAGAACCCTCAGCCTCGACCACTTTTGTTGTCGCCAAGAGCACCCGGCCTGTTGAAAGTGCTGGAGCGTCTTTGAGCAGTTTGTTGTGATACGCAGGTGGAATGGTCTGCAAACAGATGAATTCAGCCCCTCCAAACCAAGCGCGGAGCGCGCTGCTTTTGTGCGCCAGGCACAAAACGCTGAATTCCTCCGAACTTACTTGGGGCCTGTCTGGAAAAGGGTCTTTTCTTCCCTCTGCTTGTACCTCTGGCCACACTAAGTCTCTGCCCGCCCCCCTTCAGGCCCCCTCCCTCTCCTCTCTGATAATCCTTCTCTTTATTTTAGAAAAACACAAAACCCGGTTCCACGCGGTGCTTTAGTGGCTAAAAGTGAAAGAGCTGCCTTGGCAGAATTCAGCTCTATGAATCACTTCGGAAAATTGGTTCGACTGAATGGCCTTAGGAGGAAAAACGTTTTAATAGGATCCAGGGGAGGTTCTGCTGTTTCAATCTGCTCCTTAAACAGGTGGAGATTGGACGTTCTCAATTATACAAACAGTAAGTACCCATCAGCTGGGAGAGCTGCCCTCCGAATCCTTCCCGCACGCAGCCCTAAACCAGAAGCAGAACCCGGCTTTGCCTCAGAAACCCGATCATAAATCAACAATTCTGATCTATTAGGATCTCCAAAAGTCTTCCACCTCTTGGTTTAGTCTTCCCCAGCCTCAGACTCAGAGCCGGCCATAAAGCCGGAGGCGCACCTGCGCTGCGCGGATGCCCCCGAGATCCCTGCGCGCGGCCTTGCTCTCCGTGACGCTTCGGGGTCGTAGTTAGGCAGTAGGAGCTCTCTCCCGACCTCCGACGCCAGCCAAGGCGAGCTCATTGCTTTTGCATAAATTAATATTTCCCCATTAACAAGTTCCCCCCTCCAAACGCGGCGCCCGCGTCCATGCGCCACATCCTAATGAGGTAATTATCATTTGCGCGTGTTCGGGGCTGGCGCCGGTTCCGTGGGTAAATGGCAGTTTATTAGCACGATGCCCAGCTCGGCTGCGGAGGGCTAAGGGATACTTCGGCTACTAGACTGACACCCAGGGGCCCTTTGGGGGCGCCGCGTCCGGGACCCTCCGCCCTCCCCGCGTCCCCCAAACCTGCAGGCCTCCAAAGTTGTGAATCACGCACGGAACTCTGCCTAGGTTTGGGTTTGGGTCCCCCCCCCTTTCCTTCCACCGGCAAAACCATCACGATTCCTCCCCCTCCCCCTCCCGTCTCTTCCCTCTTTCCCGATTCGCAAACCGCTCGCACTTTCCCGAGGGGAGCGCGGGCGCCAGTTGCCTCCTTTTAAAGTTTGAGGGGCGGTGGTGGCGGCGGCCGGCAGGAGCGGGGGAACACAGGGGCCGCTACGGGAGCCGCGCCGCCGCCCATGTCATTCCACTTCAAGTGACTTCATGTGATGTCAGCTGAATGTAAAAGACAGTGATCTCACGCGGAGGGGAAGATGTTTGCCATCAAAATGTGACAGAAGAGACACGCTGCATGGCTCGGAACGCATCTCCTTGGTGGTGGGGGAAAGAGGTAAATGCGAGGTGGCTCTCCGGTCCTCTTTAACTTTGCCCCTTCACTGTCCAGCTCCCAGCACGCGTGGCAGAGGCCTGGGTCCAGGGAAGGGCTCAGGGGGGTTAATTTGAGACTCTTTTCTCACCGCCCCCCCCTTTTCTTTTGTAAACCCTCCCCCTTCTTCCCCTTTTCAAAGTCCCAGGGCAGGGGCTGGTGGGTTCCTTTGCGCGCCGGGTTAATGGGCGGTAATTTGGTACCCTTGGGTGCACTTTGTTTTGCCCTCGTTCATTTGAATGCAAATGGGTGACCCGGGCCCGACTAGGTGCTTATTAAATTGCAGTTTTCCCCCCTGCCTTTTCCGGAATGCAGACTTAGAGGAGAGAGGCTGCGCCCTGGCCCAGCCTGGCTCGGCTCAGCTCCGCGCGCCATGGCAAGCTCGGCTTCCCTGGAGACCATGGTGCCCCCGGCCTGCCCGCGCGCCGGAGCGTCGCCTGCCACTTCCAAGACACTGGCCTTTTCCATCGAGCGCATCATGGCCAAGACGTCGGAGCCCCGCGCGCCCTTTGAGCCCCGGCCTGGAGCGCTAGAGGCGGACGGCAGCCAGGGCAAGAAACTGCTCAACCTCTGCTCGCCGCTGCCCTGTATGATCCCCCTCCAGCCCCTAGGCTACGAGGTGCCGTCAAAGACACTGCTCAGTTACTCCGAGCTCTGGAAAAGCAGCCTCCGGGCGGGCGGCGGCGGAGGCGGCGGCGGTGGCGGCGGCGGCGGGGGGGCCCCAGTGTGCGGCGCCAGCGGCTTGTGCAAAACCAACTGTGGCGTGTGCTGCAAGGCCGAGCTGGGCCTGGCGCCGTCTGCGCTGCCCGCGGGCAGGGTCATCAAGCCGCAGGTCATCAACCAGGCTGTGGGGCTGCCGGCCAGCGGCTCGCTCTACTACTTCAACTACCTGGACTCGACCGCGTACCCGCCGTCTGAGCTCCTCAGCGGCCACCTCTTCCCGTCTGGCCTCCTCAATGCGCAGGCCCCCGCCGCCCTGGCTGCTCACCCCAAGCTCTTTCTGCTGGAGAACGCCAAGCTGGCCGGCTTGGCTGCGGACAAGTTCCCCCATCCGGCTCCCTATCCCCATAAGGAGCGCTTGCCGGCGCCACTGGAGCAGGTACTGAAGGAGAACTCGGCCCTGACTGCCGAGCGCGGAGGCGTCAAGGGCCACAGCAAGCTGCCAGGGGGCTCCGCAGATGGCAAGCCCAAAAACTTCACCTGCGAGGTGTGCGGCAAGGTGAGGCCCAGGGTTCGGGGAGCCGGGAGGGGTGACCGGCGGCGGCGGCTTCCTTGGGGCAGCCTGGAATGCCCTTCTTCAAGCTGCGGAGCTCCCCAGTAGTTGACTACCCAAATTGGGAGCCTAGTTGGGCCTCAGTTTCCTATTCTGTAAAATGGGGATGCCCTTGTCAGCGGTCACACAGTATCGGTGTAAGCAGGAGTTTGGGAAGCACTTTCCAAACTGAAAAAGGCTCTGGTTTCTGAAGGGAGTATTGGTTGGGGGAGGTAGGCTGTGGTCCCCCTGGGACTGATTGTAGGCCCTCGGACAGACGCACCACATAGGCCCCCCATGTCTTCCCATAGGTGTTTAATGCTCACTATAACCTCACCCGCCACATGCCGGTCCACACCGGAGCCAGACCGTTCGTGTGCAAAGTCTGCGGCAAAGGCTTTCGCCAGGCCAGCACGCTCTGCAGGCACAAAATTATCCACACCCAGGTACGTGGCCCCCGGGGTCGGGCCCAGCCCTCGCGCAACCCCCAGAATCTTAGTGATAACACTGGGGATAGGATGGCCAAAGATTATCCCTTACCCTCTAGGGTTGAGTGGGGGGAGGGGGTGTCCCTTCCAGGTGTTCCCGAGGTGGCTTCTGGGCCAGGATCTTGGCCTTACTGTGTGCTCGCCCCTCTCCGCAGGAAAAGCCGCATAAATGCAACCAGTGCGGCAAAGCCTTCAACCGCAGCTCCACGCTCAACACGCATATCCGCATCCACGCGGGCTACAAGCCCTTCGTCTGCGAATTTTGCGGCAAAGGCTTTCACCAAAAAGGTAACGTGCCGGGCGAGGCCATCTCTTCTCACCTCACCTCAAGACTTGGGTCGCGGCTGGCTGGCAGGAAGGCAAAGAGGGATCTGGAGAGAGAAGGCGAAAGCTGCAGGCGCGGGTGCAGCATTTCTTTAGAATCGGGTTGTGCCTGGTGTAGGGGGAAGCTCTCCTAGCGGGGTTAGTAGACCACGCTGTATGCAGGCTGGGTGCACAGAGAGACTCGAATTCGAGAGGTGGGAAGGAAGTACGGAGACAGAGGGAAGGGATGTAGGAAAAGGAGATGGTATTGCCCTATAGAAAAGGGTTCCGTTTGTATCTGGGACTTCCCTTTCAAATGAAAAAAGATTGGAGGCAAAATAACCCTCCCGGGAACAATTTAAGACTGGGGGAAACCGGTATGATCCTTGCCCCGGCTCGGATTTTCCAAGGCACTTTTGGATCTCCAGGTGGTAGTTGGGGGGCGAGAAAGAAGTAACTTTAAAAATAAGAAGAGGAAAAAAAAAAAAAAGGACGAAGCCCGGGTTCGTGCGAATTTCTTCTAGCGAGGCATCAGCCAGGAGAAGGACTCGGTGCGTCTCTGGGCTACGCAAAAGTTTCCCGGCCGGCGGAGCGCTGCGGGAGGGACGCTGCACCAGCCTCTGTGGCCCGCAGAGCAGGAGCGCAGAGCAGCTCTGCGGGACTCAGTCTCGGTCTTGTCGGGAGAGCACCCGGCTTGACGCTTACGAAGTTTGACAACTTCTGCACTCAAAGAGGTCGCGCCCGCCTAGCCAAGCGTCGCCTTTTTTGAGCAGGCACCTGGGCTGCCCCTGGGACGCCCGCCTCTTCCTCCCCACCATTCTACTCCATACCCCCACGTTTTTTGTTCTTGATCTCTTGTAGGGAACTACAAGAACCACAAGCTGACCCACAGCGGCGAGAAGCAGTACAAATGTACCATCTGCAACAAGGCCTTCCACCAGGTCTACAACCTAACCTTCCATATGCACACCCACAACGACAAGAAGCCTTTCACGTGCGCCACTTGCGGCAAAGGGTTTTGCAGAAACTTTGACTTAAAGAAACATGTGCGCAAACTCCACGACAGCGTGGGCCCTGCTGCCCCCTCCGCAAAGGACCTGACTAGGACAGTGCAGAGCTGAGAGCTACTGCCTTGCCCTCCCTTCCCTCCCTGTACCACCTGAAAACAGATCACACATATAAACTTATTTCTAAAATTAAAAGAAAAAAAAAAAAAACTATAGCAGAGAGGCTAAAATCTATTTATCGAAACCAGCATATTTTTGGAAAGCTAAATGTTTCCTCGATGACTGGCAGCAAACTCGTGGCCCCCACCTTTGTATATTCAGGAAACTTATTTAAATCCAGTGCGCCGAAACGTATTTAATTCCAGGCCTCCGCTTCTCCTGGGGCAGCCAGTTTTAACCCCAGCCTGTCACCGTGAGCGCCCCAGAAGAGCGCGGCGCCCCTAACCATCTTTATACAGCCATGTAAATCCTCCTGTACAAGCGAACACGGAATATATACGTATATAACTCAATAAACAGAATCATTAGTGCGCGTTTTTTTCCCCCTCTCCCCTCGCGGCGAGGTCAGCTCAGCAACCCCAAAGAACGAAAAGGAATTAGGCATTTATAGCATTTCCTTCCTAACTGCACCAACTTTGGGGTGCTGGGGCCAGGGTTGAGGCCAAACCGGTGTTCTTGCTGCGCTTGTGTGCTAAGGCCCCCAGGAGTGAGGGCGAGCAGGCCTACGTCGGCCTACAGCAGGTGCCAAGTTTTTATTTGGTGACTGTTCAGACGCTTGGGATTCTGGGTGTTGCCTTATTTGGGTAAGCAAATTCAAAGAAAAGGGTTAAAAGCGACTGGGTGTTAGGGAGCAGCTTTTGGGAACGTCCTTGAGCAAAGCGCCACGCCCCGTGAGGGTAAGTGGTCTACGCCCTACCCCACCGGAGCGCTTCTGGGCACGTCCCCTTCTCCCGGAGACCTAAGGAGGGCAACCACCGCTCCCAATCTCCCGTGGCGGCAAGAACTGGAGGGTAAGGGTCCCCCAGCCCAGCCAGAGCCTCGGGGCTCACTGGCCTGCGCTCTCGGTCTGGGGCGGGCCTCCCGGTGCCGAGAGCCCTGCCGCCGGAGGGCGCGCCCTGGCTCCCAGAGCTCGCTGCCGCAGCCGCCGCCGCCGCCGCCGCCGCCGCCTCCTGGGTCCTGATTACCGCTCCGTTAGCCCATTTCCTGAATAGCTATCTCTGCCGCCGAGCACGCTGATGAAATGATCTCACGCTTGCTTTCTAAGTAATGACCCAAATTAAGAGAGAAAACAGAGACCCTTCAAACAGCATTACATTAATCATCTAATCATTCCCAGGAGGGGGCCGGCCGCCGCCGCCCCGTTTGATCCGAATCTGGATAATCAAGAGCTCGGATTACTGGCGCGTCGCGCCGGGCCTCCCCCCACACACACTTTTAATATCCGCGCGGCGATTCAGCCCACGTCTTTTGGAACAATGTTCCCCAGCGCCAGGAGGAAGTGCGGCGCGGGGCCCGGGAGTGCGCTTCCACGCAACCTCCCCATTGAGGGGGCGAGTATGACTGGGAGCTGACCCCACGCGGATTTCCACTGCGGGAGGCGACTATCTGGAGGGAAAGATGCTTAACGCAAAGGGCACCCCCTCACTCCCCCAAGTAACTCGGAAAGTGATTCGAGTGCGGGTTTCCCAAACACCTGGTATACAGTAGGCGCTCAGTGCTGAGCGTGCCAGTGGTTTCCACGAGCGAAAACCCTGTCATCTCCCGGGGGCTTGCTCTATGTCAGGAACTTAACACACATCCTCTCCAACGGTGACTATAACCCTCAAGCTGGGCGTGATTATTCCCACTCTACAGACGGAGAAATAGAGGCAGAGACGAACTATGTGACATGCCTTGGGGTCACCAGGCTTGGTAGAGCAAGGATTCGAACTCCGGGGGTTTTAGGAGGCCTAAGCTTCAATGGAGGAAGAATCTTGGGGTTGGGGCTCGGAGAAAGACGCTCTGGGGCAGGGTGGAGGTTCTGTCCCGGTCAGCCAACGGTTCTGTCCCCGCCCGCCGCCCAATTCGCGGACCCATTGCGCGGGGAAGGAGAATTGTCGATTTTGTTTGCACAGAGGACGGCGACAGCTTCCTCAGGCTGTCGCGGGGGTATTTTTAGTACCTCCGATTCAGAAATAGGAACGCGTACATTAGAATTCCATTTCCTGAAAGGAGAGCGTCCTCGTTTTTTTGTATTCCTCCCCTCCTCCCCTCAAGTCTAGGAAGACGCAGCCAGGGGAGGGGGGAAGAGGAAGCGAGGGGGAATTTAAATGTTAGCTCGTTCTGGCTGCAGTTCGCTGAGGGGAGATTGGGACCCAGAGGAATATGCAGATTTAACTCCGAAATCTCGGTGGATGCCACAAACCCCAGGAAACCCCAGGATGGGCGAGGAGGACTTGGCGGCTAAGGATATGAAAATATCGCCTTGCTTTTCCCAGACATCTATCCCTAGGGAGATTGCAGGCCGGTTTAAGGAGTCAGCTCCCTTTCCTTGTCCTCATATAGTACAATAGTGTTTTATTAGCGCTCTCCCCCCCATTATGTATGGGAGATCTTGGGTGTTCTGTGACAGTGCCCTATGACAGCCATGTCAACCAAAATCTTTTCCTTCCTCTGGAGAGGATCCTTTGCAAACGTGGTTCTTGAAGACCAGACAATGACCAGGGCAAGCTCACCTTTTTCTTAAATAGCTCCAAAAACTTTGGGTGACGGACAGATACCACAAAATTTAATGCAAAGTCTTCTCTTTTAAAAGTTATGGGAAAAGTTGGCCTGCATGTGGAAATCAGGGTCAAGTTCTCTTTAAGAAGGAAAGATAAATAAAAGAGGGAAAGCCTGCCCTCCCCACCACCGCCCAGGGATACAACTTCCTAACCTACAAGTGAGAGAACATTCCTTGAAGTTTTCACGGAGACTGGAAGGGTCCCCCATCTCGTAAAACTGGAGAAATTTGCTTCCAGGCTTACAATTCTGAAGAGGGGTGGGGGCGTGCTTGCTTGCAAACTAGGCAGCAAATAATAAAAAAACTCATGCGTAGAGGTGGAGGCATTTCTCGCATGGACTGCTCATCTCTGCAGTGGTGGGGGGAGGAACATTAACTGTAGCTCAGGGGTATAACTGAGTAGAGTTTCTTGCACACTTCAACATCCTTGAGGTTGTTTCCTCATAAGTTGATTGTTACTTAACCTCCACACCAGCTTCTGTCAATCGCTCTCACCTGAGAAGGTGTTGTTTCACATCTGGCGCTAATTGTAGATAAACAGAGTTCTCTGTTATCTATAGGGCTTAGTTCTACTTTCCACAAGTTTGAAGTCACTCCCAGATTTAAGATGTCGGCTTCCTTCAGGTGTGGGATTCAGGAAAGGATTCCTTCACCTGAAAAGTAGTACGAGGAGAAAGGGAACCTTCTGCCTGAATTACAAAACACCTTTCACAGCCAGCACAAGTTCTAAAGCCAACACTAAGCCCTTTCAGTAACCATCTTAGCTATTCATCCTTCTTAGTTATTCACCATGCATCGGAATTGATGGGTGAAAGGCTCTGTTTTCTGATTTTTCTCTCTCTTAAAATTAAACGGTTTGCATGACTTGTAGTTTACAATATTAATAAATGACTTAAACAAGGTAGTCATCAGCTGCATATTAATATTCTAACCTTGATTAAATTGAAGAGGCTGCCCTTAAAAAATATTTTTAAAAAATCAAATTGCGGGGGAGGGGAATCCTGTCACAGACACAAAAAAGACTCCAATTATCTTTTCCCCTACAAGATGTTTGTTCTGTCCATGACTGCTCACACTTCAGCAATCTTGCCAGCAAGACTCAAAAAAAAAAAAAAAAAAAAAAAAAAACCTTCTTCCAAAGCCACAGCCTCGTACATAACAGATTGTACAGTCCTATTGCCTTAGGCGGGTTAGAGGTTCCTCTCTGCAAAGAGTGACACAGAAAAGTTGCCAACATCCCAGACACATTTTGGGGGGCACTGTGCTCGTTCTTGCCTTAGCCGCAGAAGTGGGTCTAGATGGTCCCCATTTTGCTGTTTGGCTCACAAGCGAGTAGGGGGCTGCTTGAGCCAGGCCCAAGAGTTACAGCAGTGAGGCGTCCAGGTGTGCTGGTGGTGAGTGGGCCGGGGGAGGGAAAGAGGTGATAAGAGGGAGGGTGGGGGGGCTGCCAAAGAGAGGACAGGAGTCTTGAGAAAACGCTGGGAAATAAACAACCTCAAGGCAGCTGCGTTGCCCTTTTCCCTGCACTTCCCTCTCAAACGTCTGAGCAACCAGTTTGCTCCTAGAAACATGTTAATTGCCAACGGAGCTCATTAAGGCATGCACATGCAAAACACAGCAAGAAAGATTAAATGGACAAAAGCGCAATAATGAACTGTCAACAATCGGGCCCATCTACGCGACCAGGATCACTCAAGAATGAGGCATTTAGAGGCAACAAAGGATTGTCTGGGACAGGAAGAAAAGACGACCTAGACTTTTGTTTAGTCAACACAATTGATTACAAATGAGAGATTAACAGGATAGCTTCAGATTTTTTTTAAAAGAGGCAGAAAAGAAAAGTCCAATTAAGTCCACCGAATGTTAACTACATTGCGTTCCATGCCTAGCCCCAAAGAAATTCTCATTAAACCATCCCTGGCGATCCCTTTTGGAAAGTAATTTGTCTCCCTGATGGAGCAGAGAAAGAGAATCGTGTAAAAGAAAGCGTTAGTTCTTGGCACAATGAGCTTAGGAGACACACTAGAAAGAGCCAAAGGGGGAGTTAATGAGCATCTGACAAACTGCTTGGATTCAGGCCTAGAGAACAGCGATGAAAAGATGAAATTGGCCAACAACTATTCTTTATATCAAACATAAAAAGGCCAATCTGAAATGGGGCTGCTCAAAACTGGTTGAAAGTACATAGCCCAAGAAAAGGGAACCACGGCCAGGCCCCTTGGTGGACAGTGGACAGATAGTGTGAAGAACTCAACAGGCCAAGAGTTAGGAAATAAGCAGAAGGGTGGACTGACTCTCCGTGGCAGAGCAAACTCCAGCCACCAGCCCCAGGCCTTTGGAGGTGCTGATTTGAAGCTCTTGGTGCCCATCCCCCACCCTCTGGATGTTTCTTTCATGAGTGAAAAATGAATGTATCAGGCTAGCATTCGAGGGTTCCCCAAAAGTTCTGATAATTTGGTAATTAGCTGCTGGCAATCAGCAAGCCACCCCCCTCTCTTCTAGACCCATAGGCCTCCCAAGGGCACCATATGTTACCAGCTCACATGCAGTTTTTCTACCCTCCTTTGTCCTAGTGACCATTCAAAACCCTCACCCTTAGGTGATTGCCTTCCTAATTCTGCATGGAGCAGAGATGGCAAGGAAATGAAGACATTGATCCTGCCACGGCTTTGTGGAATAGGTCATGAAGCATTTAAATTATTATAGCTGTTCCTCTGGCTTTAAGAAACTACCTCATTTTAATGTTTCCTTTTTTGAACAAAGTAGGTCAACA